GGCGTGAGGAAGCCCCAGAGCGGGTGGGCGTAGGGCCCCGTGCGCAGGGGCAGGCGCGGCTCCTCCTCCTCCTCCTCCTCCTCCTCCTCGCCCCCCAAGGGCAGAGGGATGTCCAGGGAGGGGGGCAGGGGCACCTCCAGCTTCTCCTTCCCAAACAGCTTCACCTGGGGCCGCGGGAAGAGGCGGAACCTGCGGATGAGGGAGAGCTTGGAGCGGGCGGGCTTGTCCATGCCTTGCTGCTCGAAGAAGGTGGCGCTGGGCAGGCGGAAGGAGGTGCCCTGCTGCTCCCCGGCCGCCTCCTCCGACTCCTCCAGCTCCGCGATGTCATCCATGGGGTGGGCGTAAGGGTTGTAGGGCGACAGGATGGGGGGTGGCGCCCATGGGTATGCGAAGGCCGACTCCTCCGGGTAAAGATAGGGCACTTCCGGGGGGTATATGGCCTGGCCGCCACCCCCGTAGATGCCTTCAGCATAGGCGACGCCGTAGGGCGCGTCATAGGGCACCCCGTAGGGGTCCAGGGCAGGCCCCTCGTAGGGGACGTCGTAGGGCAGGAATGGCCCTTCGTAAGGTGCAAAGGGGTCCAGGTAGTAGCCGTGCGCGTACGGCTCGGCCTCGTAGCCGTAACCGTCGTAGTAGCTGTAGGGAGACACGTAGGCCCCGGGGGGGGCGTAGGGGGGCTCGTAGTCGTCGTAGCCGTAGCTGTAGGCGTAGGGAGACGCGGGGGGGTAGACGCCCCCGTAGTAGTCCGGGCCGTAGGGGTCGTAGGCGTCCTCGGGCGGGTACCCGGGGGTGCGGTCTGCGTAGGGCGGCCAGGCGGGGCCGTAGGGGCCGTAGGCCGTGTAGGGGTCGTAGGCCGCGTAGGGGTCGTAGGCCACGTAGGGGTCGTAGGGGCCGTAGGGGCCGTAGGCGGCCAGGCGGGGCTCGGGCTCGTCGTAGGGCGGGAGCGACTGCCGGTCGTAGTAGCCGTCGCCCTCGCGGTGGTAGTCGTAGTACTCGCCCAGGTCCTGGAAGCCCTCCAGCCCGTACAGCGACCGGCGGGGGCCCGCGTGCCGCAGCGGGGCGTCGTCCTCGGAGGGCAGGAAGCCCACGGGGTCGCCCG